GCGGGGGGGGGGACCCGCTCCAAGCGGGAGAGCAAAAGTAACGGCGGCTCTTCCCTGCGGATCGGGTGGAATCCGGCGGCTCCCGGGGACGCGGAGGGGCTTCCCGGGAAAAGCCCGGAAGGGTCTCGGGGTTGCGATTCCGGAGGCGCTCACGGCGTTCCCTGCTCTGCTCCGCGCAGGGTCTCCCGCCAGCTCCCGGGTGACGCGGAGCTCCGGCCGGCAGCCCTCCATCCTGGCCGTGTTTTCCAAGGGGTGAGTGGAGCGGCCGGGAATGCCGGCCCTCGGGAATGCCGGCCCTCGGGAATGCCGGCCCTCGGCGTGAATCCCACCCGCTGAATCCCACCCTCTGGAATGGGCAGATCCGCCAAGCGGAAGTCGGACGAGGTGAATGGGGAGGTGAAGCGGGAGAAGAGCCTGGAAAAGGAGGAAGAGGAGCTGGAAGAGGTGCGTGCCGGAGCCGGACACGGATAAGCTCCCGGCGCCGTTCCAGAGCTTCTGGAATCCCGGTGCGATTCCGGGCTCCCTTAGCCCGTTTTTCCTTTTCCCTCCTTAAGGAGCAGGATGAGAAAAGGATTAAAATGGAAACCAAAGAAGGGTGAGGAGCGGAGCCGGGCGGATACTTCCGAGGGGCTCCGGGATTCCTTCATCCCTCCTCTCCGGTGTTTTCCCGCGCAGGTCCGAGATAAAAGACGAAATTCCTCAGGTTAAAATGACGCTGCCTGCGAAAGTAAGTGGCTTTTCCAGCTCGAATTGAGTTTTCCCGTTGTGTTGAGCGTCATTCCGGGGTTTGGAGCGCGCGGAATCATGGAATGCGCCCCTTGCAGACCACCCCTCCGAAGTGCATGGACTGCCGGCAGTACCTGGACGACCCCGACCTCAAGTTCTTCCAAGGGGATCCCGACGATGCCGTGAGTGCCGGGCGCGTCCGGCGGGAGCGTGTCCCCGCGGGGCCCGTTCCCGACGCATCCGTGCCGCCCGCGCAGCTGGACGAGCCGGAGATGCTGACGGACGAGCGCTTGTCCCTGTTCGACGCCAACGAGGACGGATTCGAGAGCTACGAGGACCTTCCCCAGCACAAAGTCACCTCTTTCAGGTGGGAATTCCCGCGTCCGGGGGGGAAAATTATGGGAAACGCCGCGTTTTCCGCTCTTTCCGAGCTACAACTGCGTTCCCAACAGCGTCTACGACAAGCGGGGCCACTTGTGCCCGTTCGACACGGGGCTCATCGAGAGGAACATCGAGTTGTATTTCAGCGGCGCCGTGAAGCCCATTTACGACGACAACCCGTGTCTGGACGGTGCGTTCGGAACCGACGATTCCCGGGATGTTCCCTGCCGGGATCCGGCAAGCGGGAAAGCGGGATTCGCGGTCGGAGTGAATCCCGCGTCTTGTCCCGCTCAGGAGGGGTGAGAGCCAAGAAGTTGGGGCCCATAAACGCCTGGTGGATCACGGGATTCGACGGAGGGGAGAAGGCCCTGATCGGCTTCACCACAGGTGGGTGCGCATTCCGGAGGCTCCGAGCGCTCCGGAGGCTCCGGAATATCACGCGGAGCTTCCCTTGGGTCTCCCACACCCTGGGTTTATTCAGCTCCAGCAGCAGCAACTCGGTTTGTGCTAAAGCAACAAACCAAAACAAGGAGACTCCTGGCTCCGCTCTTGCCTTCCCAAATCCCACGTGGCTTTTCCTGCTTCCCAGCTCCATTGGGAGAAACCCCGGAGCTTTGCGGCGGGTTAAAAGCTCTTCCCATTCCGCAAGGAGCATAACCCTTCCCAAAACCCGTTCCCAAAGACGATAGCGGAGGATTTAACTCCCTGGGCACGTAGGGATGGCAAAGGCTGGAATTCCTTGTTTCCTACCGGATAACGGGAATGCAGCACAATTCCTCGCTCCCTGCTGCTTTGGTGCCCATGGGATTTGGGGCAGGTTTTGGGGCACACGGGTAGGATTTGGGGCACACAGGCAGGTTTTGGGGCAGTTTTGGGTCACATAGGCGGTTTTGGGGCAGGTTTTGGGGCCCACGGGCAGGATTTGGGGCATACAGGCAGTTTTGGGGCAGGTTTTGGGGCACACGGGCGGTTTTGGGGCCCACGGGCAGGATTTGGGGCACACAGGCGGTTTTGGGGCAGGATTTGGGTCACACAGGCGGTTTTGGGGCAGGTTTTG